AGTCGTTAGTAGAGTCTCAGTTAACAGTTTATTATTAGAAACCGAGAGAATGAAGGAATGAGAATAGTCATTTCTATATTTCAATACCTCATGGTAATCTTGTTCTACAGGGGCAGCGCCATTGAGGTTGTTTAGAAAAAGGTCAATTCAGTCATCTGTTCATGGGATTTTACAGATTTATCACGATGGTACATGGGGAACGATATGTTATAACAACTGGGACATGACTGACACAAACATCGCATGTAAACAGCTTGGCTACAAGAGTGCAGTGAGTTACAAGCACTTAGGACGAGGATCTGGTCGAATTTGGCTTTCTAATGTAGATTGTAATGGTGATGAATCTTCACTAGATCAGTGCCATCACCGAGAATGGGGTGAACATAACTGCGGGCACAGCCAGGATGTTGGTATCGTGTGTAATACAGGTAAGCGCACACTCCTTTATTGCGGTACTAGGGATATAGAAATCTTGCTTCCGGTTTGTGCTCTAAGCTCTCTCTCCAGACTCTCCCGGAATGATTCTTCCGGGTAATCGCTGGTAAAGACAGGATTAAATATAATCTAGGTTTCCTGTGCCGCTAAAATAACCGTTACAAGTGTTCTGGAAATTTTGAATTTTCTTCTACTACAAATATCCTTACTTTGTCGACTCCTGTCTTCATAAAATCATTGAGAATTATGGCAAATTTTTAAGCTTTGATCTTGCTTAAAAAACAGGTGAAATAAGTCCGTTAGGTCAAGTGAGTTGACAGCTGTCGTTAATCCCGCCTGATGGGTGCTTCAGGTCCTTCAGCGAGAAATATCATTTACTTGAGACCTATTTTTACCTTGAGTCAAGTCATTTTTCATGCCAAAGTTCGATGTCGCAAAGAATGATAACACAGGTTTTTATTTCACCTCGTTTAAGAGGACAGAATAGGCAAGAATAGGTACGAAAAAACGTACTAGTGATATATTAAATTACAAATATTTGATCGCGGTTACAATCTTGTCCGTTTGTTATTTGAATTAGCCAATCATGTGGCTTGAAATTACAGGGTGTCCCAGAGCCTACGGCAGGCCGCTAGAGGGGACTTTTGGGGAGGAAATTTGACGAGACCGGAAGTCGCGACTGTTGAAAGAGACTACTAGAGGCCTCAAGAGTAGGGTCTGGGTACGAGAATGCATTGAGTATTTCTTTGTCATCATATAACAGCGTCACCATTGAGGTTATTAGGTCTGACAATTAGTCACTAGATCTCATCTAGATATTTCAAAAAAGTTGTCGAACAAATACCCGACCCAAAGTCATTGTGAATGATGGCACTGATCACACATCAAAGGCGGACAATACACTTCGTGCCTACAACAGATGGCTGCGAACTAGAAAAAAATAGCCGAACGAACGACTCTACCCCGAATAAGAAAGTCTCTTACAGTCTCAGTGCATAATGACAACCATCAGTTGATACCATAATAGTAATCACTGTTTAGATATTATTTTTACACCGTGCATATAACTGTTGTCCCAGTGCATAATGACAACCATCAGTTGATACCATAATAGTAATCACTGTTTAGATATTATTTTTACACCGTGCATACAACTGTTGTCCCAGTCGCGATTACAATCAACATCCTTAAAACATACTTGCACGTCTTATGAACAGCTAGCTGATTTTCAGAAATTGAGAGAATGAGAATAGTCTTTTCTATATATTTTAAGCATTACGGTAATCTCCCTTTACAGGAGCAGCGCCATTGAGGTTGTTTGAAAGAAAGTCGCTCTTAGAGAGCGACTCGACGAGACTTATCCCATGAGGCATTCGGAAATATTCAGATTTGCTTGCTTACATCTCGACGACATAGTGGTTTACTCCGTTACGGATTAACCCAAAAAAATAATTAATTTTACTGTTAGCAAAGCAGCCTGGTTTCATTTCGCGTTTCGTCTATCCCATAGTGCACCACGGTGAACGTGTATCGTCGCGGCGGCATAACATCATAAGGACGACAATTGCTCCATATATCTTCTCAAAGAAACCGTTCTCGTTTGACTTTCAAGGTTCTTTCAACCTGGAAGTATTATTGACACGTCTTGCACATTTTCATATCATCAGGAGCTGATGTTAATGTGATTCAACGGTTCTTTCATTTCCAGTTTTCTAGCACAAACTCTTGTTATTTTACACACCAAATAAGGCTATTGTACCTATTAAACAATTTGACAACAGGATAAAAGATTTGTAGTATATAGATGTGATTTATCAATAGTGTACAAGGYGCTATCGGTATTTCAGCACATTTTAGATCTCTTTCGACTTTTTCTGATTCACAAATAGTCTACAAATTAAGTCCATCATGAGGATGAAAGTTTCTGACAGCCTTCAACAGCGCATAATAACAACAATCATCAGTTGCTGATATCATTTTCCCCAAGCATCATAAATGTAGTCGCAGTCACAGTGACAATCATTTTGTCTATTGCCAATAGATCAGAAATCGATCGTGAAGTCGTTAGTAGAGTCTCAGTTAACAGTTKATTATTAGAAACCGAGAGAATGAAGGAATGAGAATAGTCATTTCTATATTTCAATACCTCATGGTAATCTTGTTCTACAGGAGCAGCGCCATTGAGGTTGTTTAGAAAAAGGTCAATTCAGTCATCAGTTCAAGGGATTTTACAGATTTATTACAATGGTACATGGGGAACAATATGTTATGACAGCTGGGGATGGACTCACACAAACATCGCATGTAAACAGCTTGGCTACGTGAGTGCAGTGAGTTACAAGCACTTAGGACGAGGATCTGGTCCAATTTGGCTTGATAATGTAGATTGTAATGGTGATGAATCGACACTAGATCAGTGCCAACACCGAGGATGGGGTGTTCATAACTGCTGGCACGGTGAGGATGTTGGTATTGTGTGTAATACAGGTAAGCGCACACGCCTTTATTGCGATACTAATCTTTTTTCTTTTAATATTTACTATAATAACTTCAGTGTTGTAAACAAGGAGGGCGAGGGGGGAGGGGGGTGGGGGTGTTATGTCGGTTGCCCTTTTTGGAAATTCCTGGTTTATTTGTATGTTTTTCATTAAATTTTTTATCATAATCTCTATCATGATAAAATTAATCGAACGTGTTTTATTTGTATCGTATTTTTTATACAATTTATGAAATAAACGTATTAAGCATAAAATCCCACAAATCAATGGAAGCTTGGCGTCTTTTAAACATGCGCAGAAGTAATCTTTTGTGACCCCCTTTGTTTTAGCAAGATCCAGCCCCCCCCCCCTAGTACCAACATTGAGTTATTTCTTCGTTATCATATAACAGCGTCACCATTGAGGTTATTAGGTCTGTCAATTAGTCACTAGATCTCATCTAGATATTTCACAAAAGTTGTCGAACAAATACCCGACCCAAAGTCACTGTGAATGATGGCATCAAAGGCAGACAATACACTTTGTGTCTACAACACATTTTTGTGAACTAGAAAAAAAAATTGTTTGCGAATCAATCTGGTTTTATTTTGCGTTTTTGTCGATGCCAAAGTGCACCACGATGAACGTACATCGAAGACAGAACGCCATAAGGAAGAGACCGAATGTACATCATTTTGTTCAAACAACTCGAAATTTTAGGTTAAGATTTTTATATTGAAACTTCGTGAGTATATCAATTATGTTATTAAGAAATGATTCTGAAAATTTTATATTATAATCTCTGCGATGAGTTTCGAGAAAATTAACTTTGAAGAAAAATGAAGGTGTTTTTATTTTGCATCGTTTATCCAAATGGCTTCGCTTTTTGGCAAATTAATTTATCAACAACAATTGTCGATAATCACTGTGACTTCTGTGAAAGTTTGAGTGCAATTGAATCGAAATTTGCGACGATAGTTGGAGTTTAAAAATACGCGCGAAACGCTATTTATTAGATCGAAACACCTTAACCAGGACAAAAGATTTCAAGGAATTCACATATGATTGACTTTTTATCAAGACGCTATCGATATTTTAGTCTGATTCCATAAGTCGTAGTATTCGCTTCTTGATTTTTCGGTTTGTCGCTCAAACTAGTGTCTGCCCGGGAGCAGAAAAAAAAGAGCGACCTGACAGACTGGTGGAATCAGTCTATCCGTATTGCAACACATTTTAGGTCACACTCTATATTCGAATTTTTCTGATTCATAAATAGCCGAACGAACGACTCTACCCCGAATAAGAAAGTCTCTTACAGTCTCAGTGCATAATGACAACCATGAGCTGCTATCATAATAGTAATCACTGTTTAGATATTATTTTTACACCGTGCATATAACTGTTGTCCCAGTCGCGATTACAATCAACATCCTTTTCATTGATTGTTAAAACATAGTTGCACGTCTTATGAACAGCTAGCTGATTTTCAGAAATTGAGAGAATGAGAATAGTCTTTTCTATATATTTTAAGCATTACGGTAATCTCCCTTTACAGGAGCAGCGCCATTGAGGTTGTTTRAAARAAARTCAACTCCKTCAACAGTTCAAGGKATTTTACAGATTTCTCACGAACATCAATGGGGAACAATATGTAATAACTCCTGGGGCATGAATGAAACAAACATAGCATGTAAACAACTTGGATTTAAAGATGCAGACAGTTTCAAGTACTTAGGACGAGGATCTGGTCCAATTTGGCTTGATGATCTTAAATGTAATGGTGCTGAATGGTCGCTAGATAAGTGCCAACACCGAGGATGGGGTGTTCATAGCTGCAGTCACAGTGAGGATGTTGGTATAGTGTGTAATTCCGGTAAGTGAACACACCTTGATCGTGGTGGTGGTGGTTTAGTGGGGGGCGGGGGTGTTGGGATTGGGCAAGGGGTGAGGGGCGATGGGCGTCGCCTGATTTAATTTTATGTGTTCTTCGTGAAATACCGTATCATAGTTTTAAAAAAGGGCCTTATCTCTCAATAAATACTTCAACAGGCGCAGAATCATTACAATATGTGTCCCTCCCCCCTCTCAAAATAAAAGACTTTATTTATTATTTATTTACAATATGTGTCCCTCCCCCCTCTCAAAATTTCTAGATTCGCTCCAGTCAAGTTTTTCTGATTCACATATAGCCAACAAATTGATTCTACCATGAAGAAGAAAGTTTCTTAAAGCCTTCAACAACGCAAAATAATGGGAGCCATCAGTTGCGACATTTTGTTTCCCAATGCATTATGTAACTGTAGTCGCAGTCATAGTGACAATCACCTTTTCTATTGCCAATAGATCAGAGATCAATAGTATCGATAGTTAAGAGTTTCTATGAACAGCTGATTATAAGAAACCGAGAGAATGAGAATAGTCATTTCTATATTTCAATGCAGCGCCATTGAGGTTGTTCCAAAACAAATCAACTCCGTTATCAGTGCAAGGTATTTTACAGATTTATTACAATGGTACATGGGGAACAATATGTGATGACATCTGGGACATGACTGACACAGACATCGCCTGTAAACAGCTTGGCTACGTGAGTGCAGTGAGTTACAAGCACTTAGGACGAGGATCTGGTCGAATTTGGCTTGTAAATTGTAATGGTGATGAATCGACACTAGATCAGTGTCAACACCGAGGATGGGGTGAACATAACTGCGGGCACAGTGAGGATGTTGGTATCGTGTGTAATACAGGTAAGCGCACACTCCTTTATTGCGATACTAATCTTTTTTCTTTTAATATTTACTATAATAACTTTCAGTGCTGTAAACAAGGAGGGCGAGGGGGGAGGGGGGAGGGGGGGGGGGGGGGGGGTTATTTATGTCGGTTGCCCCTTTTGGAAATTCATTAAATTTTTTATCATAATCTCTATCATGATAAAATTAATCGAACATGTTTTATATGTATCGTATTTTTATACAATTTATGAAATGTATTAAGCATAAAATCCCACAAATCAATGGCGTCTTTTAAACATGCGCAGAAGTAATCTTTTGTGACCCCCTTTGTTTTAGCAAGATCCAGCCCCCCCTAGTACCAACATTGAGTTATTTCTTTGTCATCATATAACACGTCACCATTSAGGTTATTAGGTCTCACAATTAGTCACTAGATCTCATCTAGATATTTCAAAACGTTGTTGAACAAATACCCGACCCAAAGTCATTGTGAATGATGACACTGATCATACATCAAAGGCAGACAATACACTTTGTGTCTACAACAGATGGCTGCGAACTAGAAAAATTTTTTTTTGCGAATCAGTCTGGTTTTATTTTGCGCTTTTGTCGATGCCAAAGTGCACCACGAATGACGATGAACATACATCGAAGACATAACGCCATAAGAAGGACAATTTCCCCATATATCTTCTTAAAGAAACCGTTCTCGTTTAACTTTCCAGTTTCTTTCAACCTGGCGGTATTATTGATGCGTCTCACATTTTTCACAACAGCTCATTTGTTGATGAATTCAATTGTCTGGCTTTCATTTAAAAATTTCTTGCACAAACTCTTGTTCTCGATGCCAATTATTTTTATCAGGGAGGGGAGTTAAAGAAAAAAATATTTGTTATTTCATTTTTAAGATAAAATTCTATTTCTATAACGATAAATATTTGATTGACATTTAATAAAAGCTATTTTATAAAGATTTTCAATTTCTCTTTGCGTTTTAGCTTCGATTTTTCGGATAGAATAAAATAACAGGCAGCCAACTCCACTGGGTCGAGTTTTGCTGTGCAAATTCCTCCCGTGTGGGGGTTATGTTTACAACATAAGCTCGTCAGCTTTGCGCTGATTGGCTAGTCGCATTTTCTCAAATCACCCAGACTTTTGAAAAAARCAAACAAACTGAGTCTACAATTGGGAAGAAAGTTTCTTTACAGCTTCCAACAGCGCATAATGACAAGCATCAGTTGATACCATAATAGTCATCACTGTCATTTTGACATTATTTTTACTCCATGCATCATATATAACTGTAGTTGCAATCGCAGTCACAATCACCCTTTCTAGTCGTCTGATTGTGAGAAATAGAGASAAAGAGGTTCAACGAGAACAGTCATTTCTATATTTTAATGCATTATGGTAATCCCTCTTTGCAGGAGCAGCGCCATTGAGGTTGTTTAAAAAAAAATCAACTCCGTCAACAGTTCAAGGGATTTTACAGATTTCTCACGAACATCAATGGGGAACAATATGTAATAACTCCTGGGGCATGAATGAAACAAACATCGCATGTAAACAACTTGGATTTAAAGGTGCACATAGCTTCAAGAGCTTAGGACAAGTCTCTGGTCCAATTTGGCTTGATAATGTAAATTGTAATGGTGGTGAATCATCTCTAGATCAGTGCAAACACCGAGGATGGGGTGTTCATAACTGCAGTCACAGCCAGGATGTTGGCATCGTGTGTAATTCCGGTAAGCGCGCACGCCTTGATTGCAATAATTATAATCTTTTTGCTGTAGTGACGTCAAGTATTTGATTATAGAGATCTGGAATCCAACACAGTAGTTTACAACCATTTTGTTGGGATCACATTTGGATCAAATTTGGACACTTAGTGACGTGATGATTCAATGGTGACTGGTGACATGATATCGCGACACCAAACATTTCAGTCTGTTTTGCTTAATGTTTTTTTT